CAAAACAGTGTACGCGAAGCGGGTTCCGTGTTGGTGCCACGTGCAAATATATATCATCGAACAAAGTTACGCCTCGTCAAATCGTTGAGAGGAATTCTACGGCGCAAGATATGCTACACAGAACAGTCTACCATCCGCTGAAGATTTTAAGTTGTGGTCGTTAACTGGAAGTTTAGTCGAGTGTACACACACATGGACGGTCCACACCCGCATTCGTTTCAACTTGTAGCAGAGGTCCTAACATAGGATATCCGCGTGTTTGTCTTAGGTTAAATATTCTAGGTCCATATGCGACTACCTCCAACTCTCGCATACATGTGCTAACTTATATTAGGTAATAATTAAAGCCAATTCGGTTATTTCTACTTTTAACTTCAAAGTACATTTATAATTTTATGTACATAGATAATGCAAATCATATCAACAATTTATCACAATAATATACCTACAATAACAAACTATAACGGCATTTTACATGTGAATAGGCAATAAACTAGACACGGAGACGGTATATGATTAACAACTACTCTAGTCACGTACTTCACAAACATGATTGGAAAGAAATAGCTGAGATGTTTTTATCTACATTTTTACTTGAATAAACAAATAGGACGAACGGCTTCGGACTAACAGTAAATTCATCTTGTTAAGAACAAATTTGCTTACCACGCCAGACAAAAATAATGATGATGCTTTTCAGACCTTTCTCCGTGAAAATCATATCGCCACTAATAGTAACTTCTTGTTTATGAATTTACTAGTTATTTCGTTGAGAATACATTTTATTATAATAAGAGTAAAAATATTTCTTTTTATGCGTATTCTCACCGATTGACATGCAACGTTTCGCGGGTTCGGTCCCACTTGGAATAATTCTTTATGTAATCCACTAACTGCCAAGCGTGTTAAAAAGTATGTTTGTAATAATACCTACGACGTGTGTAGGGCTATGGCCTAATGAGTCACATTTTTAATGTAATTTGCCTAACAGAAGCGAGCCATTGCCCATTCACTACTCTATCATTTGAATGCTGTGGGTACATAACAGCCAAATTATGCAAATATCATCATTGTACACTGTTACATACATTTTTGGTACTGAAACTTTGAATGTGTAATAGGGGACAGCTCGGGACTATTGTTAAATGTAAGTTTACCGACGAACAAGGTTAATCCGCCTAAACAAATTATGAACAACATTAATATATCCTCTGTATCCGGCAACTTCCCGCAATAAGCAGAATGTATTAGTGTTATTTATCTTAGCTCGAAGCGCCAACAAAGTTTTAATTGCAAGCGCCGATACAATTTGCGTACAAATGAATTTATTCGCTGAATCCGTAGTGCAATCGTGTGCGGGCTCGGGTGGCGGTGCGGGCGGCGGCGGCGCGAGCGCGCGGATTATCCGCGTGTGTAGAGCCGCTAATTGCGGGTAACGACGAGCCAACCGCCGCGCGCCACACACTACTGCGATGCACCCACCACCAAATCACCGCGCTCCAACAGATCGGTACACGTCCTATGCTCTCATGAATTTCAAATAATGTTATCCATATGTAATCCCATACATTTAGTGCAATATTTAACATTGTTCTTTTGCTTTATTAACTTTCCAATAATATATGAAGTTCATTAAGTGTACATACAATATTCTAAATAACTATGTTCATAAAAAAACCTAAAGTATGTAATGGTAGTGTGAGACCTGAGAGGTGGGGGAGGTGAGCAGGAGCAAAGAGAGTCTGCATTCAGGCTAGCGGAACTGGCACAGCAGTCGGTATCCGGGCTAACAAAAGGGTGATAGCGGTACGTGCGTAAATCAAACGTCGCACAATAACAGAGCCTCCCGCGACCGCCCGACCCTTCTCCACAGTCCCTCCTAGTTATAAGCCTCCCCATGCCTCTATAGCAGTCGGTCGGTTCTCATAAATCTGCCACACTGAAATGTGCTTCGTTGCCGGTCAGTTCTGTGACGGACGCCGTCGATATCTGTGCCAATAGGTTTTCAATGCCAGTGTACCCCGCTATTTCGATTCAGTTAAGCCCAGTGGCCCGTCAGACTCGCCCTTTACTATCTCTCCCTATAGACGTGGTCCCCTTTTAAATCACACCATTATTTTTTGAGCGAAAGGTATTGCCATCAAAGCAACAATTTATCAATTTAAATACCGCACAGCAACACAAACATGAATGTTAATATCTGAAATAGGACGTCATGTATGCGCGGTTCACGTGTTTACATCGCACACATTATTCTCATGAGCTACACACCGAAGCAGTCGACGGGGCATTACATTTCTCGTTCGGATGGTACGATACCATCGTACTTCGCTCCACTCGCTGCAATTAACGCTACACAATGACCATATAAATCTTCTGTGAATACTCTGTTCGTTCTATATTCCACGTAGGGACTTGTCGACGTAGTCCAGCTTATATACTACTAATTTACGTTACTTGTAACTGGTGAGTTAAGGTTCATAGCAAACATTGCAAGATTGCAAGAATTCAGTCTGTTAACTAGTATATCTAGTGTTAGTAAAGGAAAGAGTTGTTAGATCCGGCCGGCGTGGATTGAGGGCGCGTAGCTTAATCTTACCTATACGTCTCGAGCCTAAGAACAAACAAGCCGCGAGCTGAGATTACGCTCTGAATAAATCAATGTTACGACGCGTTAAAATATTTAAGCTCGCGATTAATGCCAGGCGCGGATACGCGTCTTATCGAATGAGTAGCGGCGGTGTGCGGCGAAACAAACGCAGATGTTCATGTTGTCGATAATAGGTTCAAGCCAAATATTGTATTAATCAAAAGCTATGGAATGTTTCCCAAATACATTTTAAGTATACGTCCTTAATTTGTTATCTCTCTTTAAAATATTATTTAGATTTATGTATTGGTGTAACTAAATGTAGGTTTATGCTGCGAGTTAATAACATATCGTTGAATTGAACAACCGTTCCCTATTAAATTAAAAATGGCGACCAAAATTATATAACTTTATGTGAATTCATAACGACAATCTTTTGAGATAAATTATATCAAAAAGTAACGACTACGTATCATTTAATTGAATTGACAATAGTATTACCTACAAGTTATGTTATCTTAATTAGACTTGACAAAATACGAGCAAAGTTTAACACGTTTTAATTGAGAGAGCGAGGAACATCAAAGTCATTCAATATAGTAAGGATATTTCCTAACCTAGGAGGACGGTTCCTCCTGATATTACGATATACTGGCGGAAGTAATAAAATAAAACGATTTTACATCTCCAGGGGGAAACGAACGTTTTTGTCGAATGGGAAAAGTCGCGAGCGACTTCTCATTCCGCGATAAAATCAGGAACGTTTTACGACAATCTTCTATTCGATTACCTTCCGTTAAACAACAATCTTAAGCAAAAACGTTTTAACCGTTTTGTTTTTTTATGTAAATTACAAAATTTTAAGTTTGTACAGTTTTTTATGGGCGAAGCGGTCATCTAAGTGTAGTATTTTTCAACTATCAAACATACTACAAAGTATATAGTTGTTTTAAGAAAATCGCGACCGATCAGATTTAAGAAATCTGTGAGGGTCGGTGCGTCGCAACACGTTCTGTTGTTTGTAATATGCGCTGGGTACCGGGAGCCGGGAGCGGACGGACATAGGAAAAAGTGTCGGAAGGCGAGCGAGGTGACTGCCGGGGCTGAGCTCTGTGCCGCCGCATAATGAACTGGTCACGTAGCCACATTTCGTATTATTTCCCTGGGACGCGTCACGTGACTTGAATAAATGTGGGCGGTCGTTGCGCGGGCCTCCGCGACTCCAGCGTCTCCTCGGACCCTCCACAAATAAACCGCTTTACGCACGATTCGGCAGCGGAGATTCATTATTCTAACTCTTACCGATTCATAATACATTACCAAAGTTTTCTTTTTCATAGATCAGTTTTATCTGACCACCCTCCCTTACGGGTCTCTGGGTTTCGATCCATAATATAGAATGGTCGGGATCTTTTAAGTACTTTAGTTTATTAATATGATTCTTATATTGCGAAGTTATGATGATTTATGCGAATGGTATATAATATTAAAATCAACATTTTTATATTTGCATAATAAATTGAGACTTATTACAGTAAATAAATACCTATAGAATACCTAAATTATTTAGAAATTACAGATAACAGAAAAGTTTAATATAGTGCTACGAGCTTTGACATAAACGCCAGCTACGTCTGCTACACAAGTTGCGCTTGGCTACGGAATTTGCTACGATGCTACGACATGTGCTACATTGCTACGCAACTCGCTACTTGCTACGTTGGAGTTCCAAGAGTAGATCTGACTGGTGTTTATTCGTAATCCACAAAGCAAAATTGCTTTGTATATCAACAACCGATATTAAGTGTATTGGTATATTTATGTGTCTTAAGTATTATTGTTAAAATTAAAAAACTACGCGCATACAGTAGGAAATCCACTTAAATCGTTTCTTCTTTAATTTATAAAAAAAAATTTTTTAATCCAACGAATGATCAGAAACACGCCTGTAGCCCATATTTTAGGTACAAAATAAAACATGCACCAACGTTGCTAGCAATAAAGATATCAGAAGGCGTAGGCAACACACATCGCCTCAGAGCGCTGTATTAGACGTGTAAGCAGTTTATTGTGAGGCAGGCTCGCTCATAACTACCCATTCTCGTAGGGATAATGTCGTACAACAAGCGACGTTATGTTTATTCGAGACAAAGTCCACGATATAAAGGTCTCCTGTAGAAGTGTGTACGAATATTATCTTTATACAAATTATATCTTATTTTATTTTACTATCATTTGGGGTTGTTGTTATCGTAGCAAACGTGTTATTAAAGTGAGGCTGAATACTCTCAACCATATACAAATGTATGATAATCGTCGAATATCTCACACATGGAGGATTTACTCTAAACAGTTATGTCCAGTTCAAGGATAAAGTTATTTGATACATGTTCTTTGTAAATATAGTGCATTACCTTGGATTGCCTCGCAGAGCTGCATGGTGCAGAGCGTTGAAACCATTGTTGTTCGTAAGAGTCATGTCAGCTCCATGCTCCAACAATAAAGTCAACATGTCGTCACGTTTCTTCGAAATGACATCGTGTAAGGGAGTGTCGCCTTCTGAATCCTGTAAGAGGAAAATATAATAAAATATTAATTTGGCCCCAATGCGAGTACTGTTAAGGGTAGTATTATTATCTGTGTCCAAATTAGGTCAGTATGCACTTTATCTTATAGATGTAGAGATTCAGTGGCAGCTGCGGTGATACTCGTCTGCTGAATTATAAAGTACAGCTCGTCTTGAGTATCGCGACAATTTTCTAAAACATCAAACCGCTCGAATGAATAATTGAGGCAGTGGAGAAGGCGTTTAGGGCGTGGATTATGGCGACTTGCATAATTTATAAGCGTCTCGGAGTGGTTGAGGCGAGCAGCAAAAGGCAAAATCGCGCTCGTACGCTGCTGGGCGCACGAGCGATATCAGAAACGGTGTCGAGTGTCGTGTCAGTAATATAGGATGAACAGCGCAAAAAGCGCGGCTACCGCGTCATTATCATAATCACCAGTGCTGCGTGCCGCGACGGTGCCGCCCAAGCCGTTTTGCTTTGTGAGCGTGCATTAAGAGAGCCGGGCGTTGTGCTCTGTCATTCCTGCAATTAATTTGCAAGGGTCCGTAAGATGAGTGCTTTCACTTTGATGTAATAACATTCATTCGAGCTAAGACCTTCTCAAAGCTTTTCAGATACATAATTATGAATAAGTAATGATATGCATTTGCAGCTTTCTTATTACTTAATCCAAATTGAAAGCGTTTCAAAATTAGATAAACCATAAAATTTACGAACTAATTATTATTTTGTAAGTAAATTAATAAATACATTAAGTAAAGTCTTTAAAAATAATTATAAGGATTCAAACCGATAAAAGAGAATATTTTCCTTTATTTCAAATTATTACTCGGGAACATACCTAATTCAATTCGAATCTGCTCTAAGATTTATCTTACACAGAGAGATGAATCTGCAGTCACAGGTATATCAGGGGGATGACAAAGCGTCCAACACCCATTCAGATGCAGTAATTCAGTGCAAGCTCAACCACAGACACCGGGTAATTCCGCACAGAATAGCAGCATTAAATATTAATCGTATTGGCATATAGATGGTCATTACGGCCTGTAATTCATGCCATCGTGTTGCGGTGTATGCATTACACATATGTGCTACTAATTATATGCTTGTTGATAGTTTTGTGTACAATACTGCTTAGTATTAGTAATGTTATTAGGAAAATAATGAATACCTTTAGACCTAAATCACATTTCCACACGTAAATGAAACATGAAATTTGATACCTCAGAACACCAGGAAGAACATCGCTCTAGGTAAACACGCCTTGGCAGAAATAAGTGTTGAGGCGAAATAAGAAATTTGATTTACGCGGCAATATCCGCAGGTGCACGTGAGATGCACCCTGCGAGCCGCCGCCGCCGAGCTGCGATATAAATATTCTTACGAATATTATAGCCGCCTAGTTGACGGCCTCATAGCACTCGCACACCGCATACGGTACTTTAATTTTAAACTAAATTACACGTGTGGCCGACTCGTAAACTGCGATAATGAATTTTGATGTATATTAAGGTTTGCTTATACGTAACATTTTTTTAGAAAGTATAAATAATTGTAGTCTTATATGAGCAGAATTTGACTGACCCATCTGAACTTTGTGTAGTTTAAACTGTCACCGGTGACCGCAACCTATTGTTCTATAATTGTGTCTACAAAACCGGTACTCGACGAGTTAAAGGGGTCCTTACATAGGTATTTGTAAGCACAATATCCATTACATTACAATAAATATATTTAGTAACGCTTATTGTACAATGACTTTTAAGATTTTTTAAATCTATTTCATGAATGACAGCTTTGGAAAAGGTACAATTGCCGCAGCACTACAGTGATCATGTAATAAAACAAAGCGACTCGGAAGCTTGAACAATAAAAACAAAACAACAAGGTAATTACTCAAAGATAAGAACAACGCGTCGAGCACTAGAAGTGGCGAGGCGTACTCAGTGGGAGGCGGGAGGCGGTTGATATCGCGCAGCCTCTTACTAAGGTTAAAAATTCGTTAGCCTTGATTAAAACGTCTGCTCGTCGCCTTACTGTGGATGAACAAAGAGCCGGCTTATCAGACGAATTATACGCGAAACCGTAAGAATATACTTTACACGAAACATTACTTATTAGCTTTTTTACTACCATGACTTTATTAAAAAATAAGTTATGTTAAAATATACTTTTCAAACCGACAAAGTAATACCTTGAAAGAAATATCTTAGTTACCAGTATTCAGTGGCATTCAGGCGAAGCTTCATCATTGACGAGGCAGAAAGAAAACAACTAATTGTTTAATTCCAAGCCATTAAGTCGAGTATTACGGGAGGATTATTCACGGACCATATACCGCAGCATCAGCGCAGGCCGCGGCGCGCCTCGCTTTGCGCGTACCGGCTCGCCACCACCACTACCGCCGCCTCTAACAAACCGGTAATGTCTACATTCAACACTATCATATTCATTTCTTGCTACAATTTTACATTAAAAGCGCATTGCACAATTAGCTTCGCACCAATTCAATCGTTCAACTTGTTATTCCTCACTAAATATTTCTGTGACAGTCTGGATAACATTGGAACATTAATTTATTGATTCTCCAAAAGTGAATAATGACCCTGCTCTTAGTGATCAATGGAACAATCAATGGAAATAAGATATATCTCTCATATTACCCGAAAATATTTACTTATACATGGTCAACAGAGTACAAATAATGTGTTTTGGCACTCACTAACATGTAGTAAAACGTATGTACATACATACATAGGCATATGCTACAAGTGTATGCATGGAGAGATTTATAGAGGTAGTTTCAAACAAATGAAAATATAGTTTTTGTAATAGAGATACATAGTTTATGAAACGAAATCATAGGCACAATATGAGTGATTGAATTCAAATTATATCGATAACACAAATATATCAATAGAGTTATAAAATTATATAGTTCGGATTTTGCAGTAACTGAATGCGCCCTCATAAGTCGCCTTGATTGATTGTGCGGAAATAAACCCAGCTTTCGGTTCGCATCCACGTTCACTCACTCATGGATATTATATTACGAAACGTATGAAACACAAGTTTTACCACATATAGCTCATTACTTATACATACAACGTTCATAACGACGACAAGCTTCTGGAAAGCTTCATAAATTCCGCAGTCCATTAGTGTTCCGATATCTCAACCACGCAATTCTTTGTTATTCAACTGGACCACAGCCGCGAGCGTGGTGAGCGCTATGCTTTAGATATCGGAAAATGCTAATGTACTTGCTGAGATTTAGCGCTGAGTAGAGCTCTATCGCTATGCGCAACCCCATGCAATAGTAGCACAAACTTTATTTTTACGTTTACAAACAGACCAGGCATCCCGGCCGGGAAATAATAAATTTCATAAATTATCATATTCTTGTAATTAAGCTTAGGTACAAACTTCGGTTACTTTGTTATTATGTGGGCGAGGAAATGAAATGAATTATAATATCAAATTAAAAATGCGGTCCCATTGAATAATCAATTTAAATATTCAGACCATGAACATTCACAATAAAAAATACCGCCTAAGTAGGTACATAAAATATTCAGTTCCACGATTTCAATATTAGTCGTGGAACTATCGATAGTAGCGCTGTGAATATTGGAGAAGGCAAGTATTTATTGGGTGAATATTGGCCCGATGCGAGCGCGACATTACGGTGCGAGGATAGTTTTTCGGTCCTAACGCTGCGGCCAACGCACAGGTGGCAGTAATGAGGCGCAAATCGCATTTCGGCTCAAAAACACCAACTTGGCATGTTTTGTGAGCGAAACCGAACTGTATAACTGGAACTATTGTTACAAACAGTCAAATGTAAACACAGATTACTTAGTTCTAATGATTTTCTATTTCGTTTAGTATTATTACATCTTTGTTTAAATTCTAAGTTTGTTTCCATAGTAGAGGTATATTAATAGACAGGAAGCAAGCTCGCGTCAGCATGTCTTTTTAGGTTTATCATGATGTTTCACAGTACCTAATCATTGTATTGCTTTATCCCGTACACTTGTAGCTATCTATCAGATATTATGACATTTTATTATAGGTACTAGTAGGTATAATTATTATAGGTGCGCAACGTAAATTCAATTAGTTTTAATGAGTTCATAGATCTCATTTCATGCAATTAGCAAAATTAATATAAGAGCTTGTTAATATTAATAAAGTACTCACACTATTGTACGTTTTCAATGGAGAAATATTTTTATATCATAAGCTCAAACTACCCAAGTTATAAATATAAAAGGTGAGTGCCGAAGAAAGAAACCATAAAATTTCAGGTGACGTCGGGCCTTCCATAAATTTATCGACAGCTCGTGGTAACAGGCAATAAGGAAAATATTTATGAAGTAGAATAGCACCCGGCGCGATTTTCATTAGCTAATTATTAGCCTACCATTCAAGAAAGGACAAAGATCGACTGTTTACAAAAACTTATTTTAGATAATATATAAAGCCAACAAGCTATTCAGATATTTATCATGATTTAGATTTAAGTTTAAGTTAAACCATGTTTTGTGACTACCTAAAACGCTTGCGTTATGCTTTAAACATATTTTTTGTATTGCACAGTTTGACAGATCTTCCTTCAGGCTAATTGGTGTGTTTAATTGGACAGCTGTTCCAGTGATTAACCGGCCGGACAACAGTTTATTGGCAGTATTCGAGCGCCTGGCCACGCAGCTCGGGACGCGTAGCGCGTTACCTACCGCTTATCGAAATGTTCCCATCTACTGGCGTAGCACTCTGTGACAGCGATTCGTAGCGCGAATACCAAATATTAGAATATTGCATCGTATTTATACGCTGTTATAGCGGTACATTTTATATTCGTTTATTGTTTCACTTGTTGAATTAACAGTTACTTGTACCTACTTTACAAAATGATATATTGCAATTTATAATAGAAATCTGACACCGTTTTGAAACGACATATTTTGTGATAATATTTTAGGAAATATCATTC